GACAACAACAACATGGGCTTCCACCATCTTGTTTGATCCTTACCACTGCCCTTGGAGAGATGTGGGCCAGAACCAGGGCCTCCAACTGACAGGTGAGCAGATCCACACACAAGGCCCCACGGCAGGAAACAAATCCTCTGTGTTCTCATTATGCCATGACTTGCATACTGGGTACCCTACAGCCTTATGGTACTGTACCCAAGGAGAAGGAAATGACCCAAGAGGGAAGCCAAGCTGCCCACTTTTGAGACTATATCAGGATAAGATCACTATGGAGAAAAGGCTCCATTGGGGGAAAATGGTTTAGGAATCACTGCGGTGCATTGTTCCCTGTGCTCCTTCCATTTGAACTTAAAGCAGAGGGGCTGGGGGCAGTCCTAGGCCATGGCATTTGTCTGCTACATCTACCGTCAGGAGCACAGGCATTATATCAGTGCCACAGGTTTCCTCCCACGACATCCATGGCACTGAACGACGTCCTCTGGAGGCCTGGATTCTTCCTTCTACCATAATGATTATGAGTGCTTCTTCCGTCTCTTCATGTAATGAGACCAATAGCGTGAGACTGTGGCTCATGAAAGCACAGTGATGAGAAGATATTGGTATCATATTTGGTCTCGTGGAGGACCCTTATAGAACAGGACTCACAACAGAGTCATAGCATGTACATTGTCATGTTGATATTTGTTTCTTCGATTCTTGTTATAAAAACTCTAGGAGCATTCAGGTCTCACTCCCCAAAATCGGCCTTTTTCATAGTGACCTAGATGGGAGAGGCTGGGTGCGCCTTACCACAACAGCTCCAGTCCCTGGCCGTCTTGGAAATGTATATACAGTTACCCCCAAAATGGAAGCAAGTCAGGAGCCAAGTGTACAGTGAGAGGAACGTTCTGTACAGCTCTCCCAAGCAGTGGCTACGCTTAGGTAACCTAACACTGCAGTGGGCACACATTTGACTCTTCCTGGCGAGAGCGTCGAGAGAATTGTGTTACTGAGAGACATCAGACTGCCCTGCCAGTGTCATGAGGAGGGCGTTTACCGCCTACGAGGGATAAGATTTTGCCTGGGCCCCAACCAAAGGATGGGTAAATGTCTCCTTTGTTTTTGCCGAGTCCCCCGTGTGTAGTAGGTGCTCAGTAAATGCCTTTGTCATTGAGTCTCCTGAGAAGGTGAAGTGGGAGCATTGCGGCTTTGCCACGTGTAGGGCTCAGCACGTTCATTGTATTTGATTTGCCCAAGTTTCTATGTCTGTGAGAGTCACTCAGGACACTCCCAGTGCTTTATCCAGGGCTCTTTGTTGGCTGGGGTGGGCAGTCGTTGGTGTTAATATGAGCACCAGGGAGGTGAGCACGCTTGGGGAGAGGGGCCAGCCAGGCTGATTGGGGTTGGAAAGTCAGCAGCCTTGACTCTGACCACAGCCGTGTAGTACACCCGTGCCATTTCCCAGTCTGGGCTTGAAGCTGGAGGTGTGGGGGGTGGAAAGGCAGGTCTGCAGCAGAGCCTGCCCTTGGAGAGCTTCCTGTCCAGGAGGGGAGCCAAGACTGCGACAGTGGCACAGGCCATCAGAGATGCAGAGGATGGGATCCTCTCTCAGCTGAGGAGAGGGGGATACCTGAGCTAGGCCTCGAAGGAGGGTGGGGGTGTCGGCACCAAGAGCAGAGGCACCAGAATAAACAAAATGTGGCGAAGGGAATGCCCACTCTATGTCCAGAAAATGGCAAGTAGCTTTCTACGGCCAGGGCCCAGAGTGGGGCAGGGAAGCAGTGGGGGCACAGGCTAGCTCGCTGGTGAGGTCAGTGGGACCGGTCAGAGGGCTTGAGGGCCAGACACAGGAATCTAGGTATTACTTTAGGGCCGAGATGACACTATCCTCTGGCGTACAAGAGCATGGGCCATAGCCAGCTTGCCTGGTTCTGATCCTGGCTCTGCCTCTCACTTTCCTGGGACCTTGGGCAAGCTGCTTAGCCTTCTAGTGCCTCAGTTTCCTCATCTGTACAATGGGGATAATATTAATAGTGCCTACCTCATTGGATAACTGTGCAGATAAATGAGAGCAATGCCTTGCACAAAGCTTGCGTTTAATGAGTGTTACTGTTATTATTGCTGTTATCACTCATTCAACAGCCCTTTATTGGACTTGGACTGTGTGCTGGACGCTGTGCTTGTCACTGGGGACACAGCAGGGAACAGCACACACCACCCTCATGGCTCACATTCTAGTGAGATAAAGAAATAAAATAGACCTGTCACTCAGTAGTAAGAATTACCTGTTATCTGTTGGCATCGAGTCAATGTCGAGTCAATTCCAACTCATAGTGACCCTATGGACAGAGTAGAACCGCCCCACAGGGTTTCCAAAACTGTACATGATCTTCACGGGGGCAAACTGTCGCATCTTTCTTCCCAGGAAGCATTAGGGGAAAAACAGCAGGGAAAGGAAGGGGTTGTGCTGCACAGATGGGGAACACACGTTTAAATAGGACAGCCTGGGCATGCCTCACTGGGAGGCCGTTTGAGGAAAGACTGAGCTGGTGAGGGTGAACTCTGTCAGAGCTGCACGCCGGCGGAGGGAACAGCAGGCAAGAGGGCCTTAAGGAAGGACATTTCTAAGCAGGTGGATGGCCCACCAGAGCTTTGCCTCAGGAGGTCAGTGTGGAGGCAGCTGCATGAGAGACTGGCAGGGACAAGGAGGGAATGATGGCCGGGACAGAGACTGCACCAGAGTCTAGGCTGTTTCTGAAGTGGCCTGCAGGAGACAGCTCACGGAGGTGTGTGAGGAAAATCGTCACACTTCTATTCCTGTCTTTTTTATCACATTCTTTTAGCTTTCCTATTTTTGTGTGCATGGTATTATACATATATGTTAGTACAGAATAGTTTCCGTAGGTAATTTATACGTACATATATGTAACTCGGAGCCCTGGTGGTTAAGAGTTCAGCTGCTAACCATAAAGGTCGGCAGTTCTTTTCCGCCATCTGCTTGTTGGAAACCATATGGGGCAGCTATACTGTGTCCTGTAGGGTTGCTTTGAGTCAGAATTGACTCTACCTCAACGGGTTTGGGTTTTTTTTGGTATATGTAATTTGTATACATGCCTATGGAGGAGGCCAGGAGTCACAGCAGGAGCCGATGGGGAAGGGCCTGACAGGAGGTGGGAGGCGGGTCAGCGAGCACGGAGAGGAAGTACCTCCTGAGTACTGTGGCAGTAGACTGGACAGGCGTGGCTTTGCGAAGAGAGGAGGTGGGAGGGGGCATCGGGACATCCTGGCAGACTCAGGCCTAGCCCACTGGAAGCGTGGCGTGGGGAGCAGAACAAGGCCTCAGGAGAAGAGGCCTGAGGGGCAAGATGAGAGTCCCTGCCTGGGCACTTGAGTGTGACGTTGCTGAGGGACAGGCGAGGGCACTTGGAAGTGGCTGGTGGGCCCTTCAGGGGAGGCCGGGGCTCAGAGCAGTTTGGGATCTCCACACAGAAAGCAGAGGATTGAGTCCGAGATGGGAAGAAAGACTTGTTTTGAAAGTGCCAGCTTGGTTTTTTGAAGGGCTTTGTTGATGTTACACAGTTAGTCTCCAGGGTGCAGTAAAATCCTGGTTGGAGGGCAAGGTCTGATGGGGCAGCATTCCATTTTATGCCCTTCTTGTTGTTAGGTGCCATCGAGTCAATTCCTACTCACAGTGACCTTGTATGACAGAGTAGAACGTCCCCATGGGGTTTTCTAGGCTGTAGTCTTTACAGGAGCTGATTGTCAGGTCCTTCTCCCACAAAGCCTCTGGATGGATTCAGTGTGCCAGCATTTCGGTTAGTAGCTGAGTGCTTAACCGTTAGGCCACCAGGGCTCCTTAAACACATAAGCCGATAGCCCTCTGCCCTTGTCACATCAGGAGAACAGGCTAGAGGGCAGAGCCATTTCCCTGTGAGGGGCTGTGTGTCTCTGGTCTGCTGTCCCTCTGCTCCTTCTGGCCCTTGTTCCATGGTTGTCAGGGAAGGGCTGGGCCAGCTTCTGTCCAGATGCTGAGGCTCCCTCAGTGGGCCCTGATGGTGGATGTCCTCTCTGAGATCAGGGCAGGGCCCAGGCAGGCCTCACCATCCTCCCCTTGTTGGGGACATCTGTCTACCAGGGTCCGCAGTGCGAGTGACTCAAATCCCTGTGTAATGGTGGGTGCACAGGACTGCTAGCCTGCAGCCGTTTCTGCTCGGGGTAGGGGACTGGCCAGCTCTGGGTCCTGCCCATCCAGATGGGCTCCTGCCTGGCTCCCTTGGGGGTGATGTCAGTGTCCCCAACCTGAGTAGCAGCTGCCCCAAGGGCCTCTGAAGGGCAGTGAACCAGGGAAGCATCTGCTCTCGCTCTCCCCCACAGCTGAGGTCTACATCGGCATTGGGAAGCCCGCAGAAGCCACAGCATGCACCCAGGAAGCTGCCAACCTCTTCCCCATGTCCCACAACGTCCTGTACATGCGAGGCCAGGTTGCCGAGCTCCGAGGAAACATCGATGAAGCCCGGCGGTGGTATGAAGAAGCCTTATCCATCAGCCCCACCCACGTGAAGAGCATGCAGCGACTGGTGAGTCCAAGAGCCAGGTGGGAAGCTCCCTCTTGGATTGGGGCCCCCCTTGGAAGCAGTAGGTATCTTGCAGCCCTCAAACCAAAGGTTCCAAAGGCCAGATGCCGTTAGCAGCCAGGCGGCCACATTGCACAAAAGCCAACAGGCACTTTTCTGTTTGTAGTTTTTGCAAATGGTATCCCTAGGTGTTGACAGTGCACAGCCTGAGCAACCCCGCCCGGCAGTCCTGTTAGGTGCTCTGGGGGAGTTTGAGTCCGTGGTTTCCTGGCCAGCAGTCCAAGCCACCCTGTGGTTCTGGGTCTGATAAAGACAGGCTTGCACACTGGGCATTGCCATGTGATCTTGGCCTCTGCCCTGCTTACAGAGCCTCCTTAGAGGGTATCCAGAGTCTCCTTAGGGGGTTGGGGGGACTTCAGTGTACGTTCGAGCTCTCTACAAACTGCGAGCCTCTCTTACCTTGAAGGAGCCTGAGACTCCAGCTTGTCCCACAGGCTGCTGGCTAGTAAGGGCATCCTTTTGGGGATGGG